CTGTATAATGCATGAACAGACAAGAGTTCCATGCACACATAACTAGCATAATACATAACTACAGTATGTGGATCCGTGGGTGTTGTCTCAGGACAAACGGTAAATATCCACTTACTGGGCATTTTACTGGGGACACCTGTGCAACTGTATGCAATTCAGTGCAACACTTCACCTTAACATTGTGTTTATGAAGCTCAAAATGTTTCTGTTTTTGGTGAAATTCTCAGAAATGTATCATTTCAATTATATATTCAACTCTATGTTTATTATTGAGGTCATAGTTAAAGATGGTGTTGTACTGCACTACATTACTGTATATTCAGAGGTGTTCCTAAAATTCTGACCCCCTCATTTAAGTAGGTGGAGAGAACAAAATTATAGACACACCTCGGAATATAATGTAGTCCAGTACAACACCACTTTTAACTGTGACCTCAATAATAAACATTTAATTGAATGTAGACATTTATGACAATATCACCAAAAAAAATGAAACATTTTGAGCTTCATAAACACAGATGTTTACACTTGTAAAGGTGTACCTAATAAAGTGGCTGGTGAGTGTACATTGCTTGTAAGATGAGTAGAGAAGCGAAAAGAGGGCAGAGAGAAAAAGGATAGGACAGAGCAGAGTTGCAAAACAACTGAGGTGTAAAATCTATTTCTAGAAACGGGGTGGGGGGCGACTCTTCCCAAATGTGTAAATGATCATCATGCTTCTAGAACAGACATAAAAACACAGTGTAAGCGAATTAAAAGGGAGATTTTCCCTTGTATTCTCACTTGTTTTCCTTTGTATTATCATTCCCTCTGGAGCACTTGGTTACAAACTTGGCTCAGTGATATTGTGCCAGTATTTATGTATAGAGGATAAAGCAGTATTCATTATTGTACTTAGCACATAATTTAAAAGACTGCCCAAGGATTCAGATAAGCAAACCTCGATTCCACCACTGTCCCACACCAAAACAAACACACAAGTTCTGGGAGCAAGTGAAACTGAAATACAGAAAAAAGGAGTGAGAGGAAGTGCTCAACGCTGGTTAAAAAAAGAATAGTAAGAACATGCAGAACCAAGAATGGTCTGAGCTGCCAGTGAAAGTAGAACAGATGAGTCAAGATGACTATACAGGAAAGGTAAAAATATCAGATGTTAGAAGACAAGAGCAAAGGGTGAGACTGAAAAGACAGATGAGCAAATTCAGTACTGCCAAGTACACTGATATACGCTGTGTATAATCACGTACCTTTATATACAGAGCATTAACACTTTACTGGCACATGAATAATAGAAAATAGTTTTTATGGGTATCAAAGCTGAGTGAGAACAGAGGACATTATAATTTTTGACACTTTAGTCACACGCTTTTTCCCAGTTATTTAAAAGGTAAATAGAACTAAAGCATAGAACAGAACTTCTCTACAGATTGTCTCCTTGCTTATAAGCGGTCAGACCATATTCATCATACTTACTCACTGATGAAGCAAGACATATTTTGATAATAAGACACACTAAGCCGCACACAACACACTGTAGTAAATACATTTTTCAACATATTTTAACACCAAAACACACCTAAAATGACCAGAGCAAATAGTTTAGCAGGAAGACAACACTTTTAGACATTTTTTTTTACTTGATTTATCTAAATTTGTGCTAAATCCTAGTTAATGCAGCTTTAAATTACTGCTAAGTCCTTGACAAAGAAAGACATACATATGCTCCAACACTTTATGCACTGTGTCCAAGTGCAATGTGATCCTAAGCAGGTCAGTGAACAGCATTTATAAATAGAACCTAAGTGTGTGAGAGACACCACAGCAACAAACTGAGATTTACACCAGCTGTCATTACAAAAACAACATAAGTCCCAAATACCAATATATGAGCTGTTTCTTTTGGACTTGCTACACTCATTCTGCGTTGCATAAAATATGTCACAGGAAATCAGTAATATATAATAATAAACTAGATCTGTTTTTGTTTTAATTTTGGGGCATTTCTGTCACCATTTGAGTAACTTCCAATTTATCGATCAGTCAGCTGACATCTGTAATTATTCCCAGTAAGTCCATTTGTTGTCCAGTTATACAAGTCTCCCACACAGTCTGAGTCCCCTTGCTTAGTGTGCATACAGGAACAGAGAATGCACTAATAGAAATTAATAAATGAGCAAAAATAGTGTTCACCAGATATGTCAACTCGAGTCACATGACATGTACTTCGGTCATAGATTTGATGATGGCATTAAATAAATCATCATCATCATCATCATCAACTTTATTTATATAGCACGTTTAACACAGCCGAAGCTGACCAAAGTGCTTAACACAATATCACTAAAACCCGTTAAAACACAATAAAACAAGCAGAAGCAATAAATATAACAATAAAACAGGATCACACTAAAACAACCACCCATCATAAAACAAAAAAGCTCAACAAGACAGAGGCTCATACTGGTTCGAACACCAAACGATACAGATGAGTCTTCAAATAAGTTTTAAAAGTGGACAACGAGGGGGCCTGCCTAATGTAAAGGGGCAATGCATTCCACAACTTAGGAGCCCCCACAGAGAATGCTCTGTAAATAAATAACACACCTGGCAATAATCACTGCAATTACTATGAGACTGCACTTAAAGCCAGACAGGGGAGTCAACTGTTCTGATATTAGTGTTGTGTGGCTCTGAATCAAAGCCCGGATTTATCGGAATAAAAGGCTTGATCAATATGTAGCACAGTACTAGCACTGACTAGAAACAGTTGATATTCCTACCAAGTGCTATAACTCTACTACAATTTTAGCTTCATCCTTATGCTTAATCATCTCTGTGAATGTTATCTGCAGTATGCATTATAGGCAGTGATTAATTTGAAAAAAATCAGGTCCCGGAATATCACTTGGTGACGGACCTGGACTGTCAGTGTTGCATTTTGGCAAGAATGTGGCGATACAATACGTATCATGATACAGAGGTTACAAAATAATATACTATGATACTGTAAACAAGGCATTATATAGAGAACGTGAAGGTACATCACACCGTGTTGAATGTTGGGATCACATTTTAGGAAAACTGCCAAAGTGCTAAGAACAAGCCATCAAATGCACAAGATCTGAAAAAAAAATGCAATTGTAACAGTGAAATCTGCATTTGCATTTATCACAGTCCCTGTGCCATCCACATCATGGCACTACTTTTTTGTACAGTTTCAGTAAAGGAATTAACATTTGCCCATATCAGTATTAAAAAATGTCCTTGCAGTATTCTTTAGGTAAATAAATTAAGAAAATACAAAGCTTTCATTGTGTACAGCAGTGAGATGGCTCATATCTTTGCAAAGGAGGTAAAGTATTGATTTATTTCAGGTGTATCAGTTGAGTTTGGTGGTAACTTAGACAGTTCAGCTGAGAGGGATCAATTCATTTAATGTTTGCCGTTCCGTTAGCTGTACATCAGAATGGTGTTTTGCTTAGTGTGCTCTCAGATTTGTTTTCTGTTCCCTAATTTTGATTTTGGCATTGTACATTTTACAAATGGCATGGCTCTTGTCGATCTCTTTGGTGCCTCCTTCGCTGTGGAAATGAACCCACACTTGAGCTCTGCACACTGCAGTAGTTGGTCTAATGTTTTTCAAATCATTGGTGGTGATGTTACTAGTTGGTTAGGTGTGCTAACACTAATGTTAGCGGTGGGCCTATGCTACTTCCTGTCTCAGTTTACATTGTTACTTTGGAATGAAGGAGTCAAATGGCTGAAGATAGATACAACATTGCTATTTACTGGTCGGGGGTTTAAACAAAATTTACCACTGTATTAATTCCACATTAATAGTGTTTTTGGAAACTGATTCAGTATCACAAAATGTACTACCACAATACCCGTAATGTATAACTTTTAAACAAGCTTGAAAAAAGTAATAAACACAGCTTCAATAAAGCATTCATGGTTAAGTGAACTTTGATGCGGATTGTTTCTATGATTGTGACAGTGTTGAGAAAATTAAATTGCATTCCTTTCTAGCTCCCATTTGACATTTTCTCCCCACACTGTAATAAAAAAAAGAAAACAGATGTGTTATGTGTAAAGCTACAAAAAGGGGGCTAATTTAATGTGCAGTCCGTGTACATCCATACAGTTATAAAAGATGCTGATGTGTACTCAGACACCAGAATTTCACATGGGACCAAAGTGGGCAACAGAGTGAACATTTCAACCTCTAGCTGTCAGAAGAACAAAACATTATTTCTGCTATAATACAATGTTGCACATTTGCTTTAAGCATGCATCAAATTTTCATGTTTCATAGACAGATCACAACAAATGACACAAATGCACATAGAGCCTTGGAGAAATAAGAACAGACTTATTTAACATCTTTGGAGGTCTATTCAAAATCCTGTAACATCGATGGCAACATTAACTGGCTGACCAGTTAATGAAAACAATCAGGCCCTTGTACTTTTATGTCATGTTCACATTTTCCTTGTCCACTATTGCAAATCAAATTTCCCCTCAAGGCACAATAAAGATCTGAACTGAACTTCCGAAGACTTCAGTGCCCCTACATTTTTTATTGGAGAATGAATATAAATCTGACTACATCATCAGCCATAAACTGAGTTTGAGTTTTGACTCCAGAAATGTAAACACATTTAAGTTATAAAGATCTAGAATTTTATCTATTAGTTGATTTCCCTATAAAAAATAATTTTAGTGTAGTCCTTCCATGAGCTGCAATTACAGTAAGTAAGCCAACCTTGTTATGCAATTACTCATCACTTGCACTCAGGGTCCCAATATGAAGCCACTTTATGCTCTTTCATTTTTAGACCTAAGAAAGGTTTTAAAACAACTGATCCTGTGACTTCTGCTTAAAAGGTCCTGCTTTTTTTTAGTACCATTTCCTTTTTTAAAATTCCCATTTCCTTTGTGTTTGTTCCGGTTTTTCCCTTTTTTCCCCCCTTCACCATGTCCTTCTTTCCTTGGTGCAGGGGTATGGAGTGTTGGTGGACTGGACGTCTCCACAGATAAACTGACTTTAATTGAAGCGAAGAATGGCTCCACAGTTCTGCTGCCCTGTACCTATTATTCCTGTATTGGAATCGAACAACTCTACTTCAACTGGCAATATAAAGAGAACGAAACCATGTCCACCAAGGTACACTGTGCACACATGCACACCCATGCAAGCATAAGATATATGGACATACTGTATAAAGAAAACACTGGGGAAAAAAGGACAGCACTCCAATAAAAAGGCCTTTTACTCTCAAACTGTACAGATGTTTCAGGCAGATGCCCTTCCTCAGCGTGCAGGCCAACAACAATGCACCTAAGCACAGGTGCAATAAATAACATAATCGAGCATAACAGTGTATCCTCCAAGGAGACTCATAAATCACATGATTAACCTAAAAACACTGTCAAACATGCTTTTACTTTAAAACCTTTGATCAAATAAAATCAATTGATTGTAATGAACTTTTGGCTGTTAAATCATGCATTATGTTTGTTTCATCATATACCCTGGTCTCTCAACCTGTTAAAAATATTGTTTCTTAAACATTGGCATATTGTGGTATCTGATCCTGGAATTGAGAAATCTTTTGCAGCATCACCCAGGTTTTGTTACAAGAGGGCATCTAACATCAGAGATTACTTGGGTAAACCAGGCGTGCCTCCTACTACAACACATTCTGGCCAAGATACCCAGTGGTAACATTCCTTGTCACGGTTGTGTGCAGTGTGACTTTATGAATAGAGGCAATGCTCTTGTGCATCCTACAACTAGAGGAAATATTCCCATCAGGGGCAGAATCACATGTAACACTCCTTTTGTAGTTTATTTATTGAAATGTCAATGTGATCTACTTTATGTGGGTAAAACTAGATGGTCTAAAAACCTATACTTGAGAACACAAATATTCCATTGGGAATCATGATGAGAAGTCTTCTGTTGCCAGGTATTTCAGTGCCAGTGATTTGGGCTTTATGGGCCCTGATGTTGTCACATCTCTATACATGGAGGCGACCAAACATTACTACAGAGGGAGTGCATCTAGATTCATTACTTGGACACTTTAATTCCAGGAATTTGATTTGTCTTGCTTGTTATAATGTATTTGTGCTAATATGTTTGTCAGGTTATTTTTTAATCATGTGCTTTACAAGGCTTTTTATTGGCTACACCGTTATGTTTGATTATGTTATCTATTGCACCTGCACTTAGGTGCAGCACTGTTGGTCTGCATGCTGAGGAAGGGCATCTGCCTGAAACTATGTAGTTTGAGAATACACAACCTTTTTAATCAGAGTGCTATCCTTCCAGTGTTCTGTGAATTTTTTTTCAGAATTCAGTACCCAATTGTATAGGCTAAATTGAACATGTTTTCTAATTCTCATTCACACTGTATAAACAACCAAAATTCTGCCTTTGGTGACCTTTTGTGTGTTGCATGCATCAGATAGTTTAGCACAGAAATATTGCTGACTTCTCATCTCTTTGTATCTGTGTACATATGTATGTGTAGTTATGCGAAGGAGAAATTGCATTGGAGGGAGCGCACCCCAAGGTCAGCGTGTTCCATGAACGGGTGGAGTTTGTCGGTTCCTCCGAGAAAAGTAACATCTCCATCCTGCTGTGGAACATCACCTTTGAAGACCAAGGACAGTACAGCTGTTTTGCCAGGAACAAAAAAGAGAAATACCGCAACAATACTGCGACCATCACTCTTAGAGTGGTGGACCAAAGTATGTGACTAATGCAAACACTTGCATGCCCCTAGAACACAAAAATACAACTTTATCCAAGTCAACCCTATGACAGTGCTCATGCTCTTAGAAAGAAAAAGAAGGTAGGTGTGCAGTCTATCCTTGTCTTTCTCCCTCAATATTTTCCCCTCTCTCCCTCTTTTCAGTGAAGGAGGTTGACAATACTTTGACAGTCATCATTGTCTCAGTGCTGGGTGGAGTTATTGGCTTAGTTATCATTGTTATGGTGATAAAGGCCTTGGTTGTTCACTTCCTGCAGAAGGATGATGCAAAGACGTGAGTAGATCACTGTCTATATTAATAATAAAGACACTGAGAACAAATTAAGAATATATTTGATTATAGACTATAATAGGCTTGTTATTAAATTAAAAAATGTTTTAAAGCAGTTTACATAGGTCCCTTATGAAACAAGTCTACTCATATTCCCAGTTACATGCTACAGATGATTTCCCACATAATGGAGTGGCATTTCCATGTTCTCCCTGTGCCTGCATGGGTTCTGTCCGGCTACTCCGGCTTCCTCCCACAGTCCAAAGACATGCAGCTTAGGTTGATTGGTGACTAAGTTTCCCCTAGGAGTGTGTGTGGTTGTTTGTTTCCGTGCCAGCCCCGTGATAGACTGGCAACCTGACCAGGATGTACCCCGCCTCTCGCCCAATGTCAGCTGGGATTGGCTCCAGCCTGGCCCCCGACAACCCTCTTCAGGATAAGTCATATAAATATTGGATGGATGGCATTTAAGACGCCGCCCATTTATTGGGTTTATATGAGATTACTGGTGCCCATATTAATGGATGCTTCTACTCATGCTAATACTTTGCAATAAATATTCCAAGATGTAACTCAAAAGTTGCACACCTATAAAAATGATGTTTGCTACTCGGTGTAGAGTGCAGCTAATAAACAACACACAAGTGAAATGGCATTTCTACCTTGTCTTTCCACATTTGTCACAATTTTTATAGTGGTAATGAGTTGCAACGCATGCATCTATTAATTGATTGTGTATGATGCATACAGTATAATATATAGGTTCTATACTAAATGTTAAAAATAGTGAGAGTGGCCATAAGTATCAAATTCTCAGGTTTTATGAGATTCAGTTAACTTCTTTGACCATGTTTCAGTAAAATCTTACTTATTACTAAATTATTCCCAAATTGCGTCTAATGCAAGATTATTTGGGAGTATGAGGGTAAGACTATGTAAAATCCCTCCAGCACATCTATAGGCCTTATCTCTCTCATGTTCTGCTCTCTACGGGTGTACCTCTTAACCTTCAGTTTCTCTGTCTCCTGCAGTAAAGAGTGCCTGGTGAGCTCCTCAGGGAATGACAACACAGAAAATGGACTTTCAGGAGCCAAAGCTGACAACAAAGCCACACCAAAGGCATGAGCAAAATGCAAAGTATGTCTGTATGTTTGTATATATGTTAGACAAATGTACACGCTCAGAGAAAATGCTGTTCAATGGACTGTTTTATTTTACTAGTGGCTAACTATTACAACATGTAAATGTCTATTATAAAATCATGCTCGAGATTTGGGAAGAGTGAAATGTGCACAGGCCTGGGTCACTCTCTCACAGATATGGCAGCCCATTTGTTGCAGTGTACACAGCCTCTGTTCTTGAATTCTGCTCTACATCTTAGTGAACCAAACACTTACTCTACAGTTTAGCCTCAAGTAAATGGTCTGCCTCCAGTTTAACATAAGAGATTTCCATTCTTCTTCTTCTTCTTTTTTAACGCAATGTGTCTTCACAGATTTTTTTCTATTATAAACCCTCTATAACCATGTGGTAAAATAATACTAATTAGTAAATCACTTTAGAGAACCTGTGTTTTATAGACCAAATGTCAGTATTCATCTGCCACTCCAAATTACAGTTACCAGTCTGACAAGCTACACTATGCATCATAGAATTGCGCAATCCACAACTCAACCAAACTTAGTGGTAACACACACATTGTGATGCTATGACTAAGTGCCATAATATCTGCTGTGATGTCAAGTGAAGCACAAAACTACTGAAATGTTTTTCTAACCATCACATCCACCTGTAAAACTGAACCTGAATCCCTTACAATTAATGTTTAGCTCATAAATTTAAGCCAACATGGATTGTTCATAATCAAATTTGTTTAAACTTAGGTGCTTACTGTTCTTTGCATAGTAGCAAATAATACGTTGGCTTACTTTAAGTCTTTAAAGCTAGTTTTTCCTAACATTTTTGTCCTGATCAGACACTGACGTTAACCTCTGCCATGCCAGCTTCAATTTTCATGCTTACTTTGGGCCCACAAATGACACACTGTTGGGGTATTTGGTTCACTAATGCTTACAGCAGATTTTGATTAACTACTTGCCATGGCAGACAACTGGGCTTCCTTCGGTGACTGAAGGATCCAGTTCTAAACAGATTTCGGTGTTTTGCTTTAGATGAAACACAAGTGCCTGTTCTGCTTCTGCTCCCTCTGCTGGTGGGAGGAAAAACTCACAGAAAAGAAATTATGAATAACCACCATCCCTAACCCACATCAAAGACAATTCCCCGACTACCCAGGCCCTATAAAAAAGGAATGAACTTAATCATGCTGCTTCTGACTAATAACAAATGCATTTTTTTGCATGTGTGCATTTTATACAAGTATATATTGCCTAGCACCGCAATACAAGAACAATTCTTTGTCTCTCTGTATGGTCCCATTTAACCCTTCACATCAGCCTAAAATTGCAGAACCTCTGTCTGTGCTCAATAAGTACTTCCCAACACTGCTACAAGTTTTGTTAACCCTTTAACCAGATCAGGATCATTGAAAGGTGACTCATCTTTCGAGCAACTGCCTGCTATGTGTATTTGTGGGAAAGGAAGGGTTAAAGAAATGTTACACATTCAAAATTCCTTACAAAAATTATATCTAGTATGTTATTGTTATTATAAAATGAATGTGTTAATGTCCCAATAGGTCAGTAGTTAGTTTTCCTTTTCCAACTCTCAAGATAATGCTTTCAGTGTTTTGCTCAGATTAGCTATATTGACAACTACTAGCTGCAACTGTATCTAATAACTGGGGGCATTGATGATAAGACGTTTGGTCTCCTAGCACTGAAACGTAATAAGTGCTCAAGAATTTTTCAGGAGCTGAGAGTTGTCTGATGTAAAGTGACCAAAATATTACACAAGTACATATTTAATTGGTGGGACATGCTCAAATTAAACATGTAGCATTTAAGAAGTAATCAGATTTTGTTTAAGAAAAGAAAAATAGAAAAAGTCAACAAAATCTTTACAATATCACTTCTCTACTTCATCTTGATAAATGAGCAGGGAAGAACTAAGATGCCCAGTGGAAACCACACTCTCTGCATGAGAGGTCATTTCTGTGAACTTGCTCAATCCACATACATAGCTTGAAGTGCTGTGGCAACTAAAAGCTACTCAGACAAAAAGAGAGACAGACAGAGACGTACTGTATATGCCTATGCATGTACTCACTCAATAAGAACCACTTTGATACCAGAGTGTAAGACACTGGCACTGTATACAAACAATGCAGCACTTTACCACTGCTCAGAGTGGACGCATCATGGGAAAGATTTCACCATCATTGTTCTTTTATATTACTAGAGTCAACAAAAACCAAGAGGTGCAATGTTTGACTGAGCACCTGACAACAGCACTGTATGAAAATGATTTTGGCATCGTCTGACTACATGTCTGTTGCGAGATTTGATCTTATTTTTCTAATTTTTCTCTTCTGTCAGCCTTCTGCTCTCTATTACCGGAGTGCATTTCCCTTCTTGCTTTCAATGGAAGCAGTAAGACAGACATCCATTTATGCAATTACCTAATATAAGGCACTTTATAGATGTGCCTGGACCGGCTGTGATGGTAACTGTCTGTCCAAGGCACTGCTCATTGTATCTACACTCTACTAATGTAACTCAGTTGATATATATCTCTGTTCATATATCTACATTAGATAGTTATCTGCATTTGATCTATCTAAATTAGATCCCATTTACACTTTGCATAAAATTCTTTGAGAAGATGGAAGATGTATCGAGAGGAGCTACCATAAGCTGCATTATAAAACATCTGATCTCCCTTTAGACGGTGACAACTCCACTGTCATTTCTGACAACAAGCTTGCTATGGAATATTCTTCATAATAAGAATTACGCAAACCAGAGACACAAAAAGCTAGTAGCTTAAAAGACCATTTACAAAACAGAACAAATTCTCAGCTGGAGCTATTCATTGGAAATTTAGAGAAATGCCATCATTCTAAATGTTCTTGTGTACATATTGGTCCATGTGCACTCAATTGTTTAAAAAAAACAAAAAAACGATCTGCCTTTATGTTTAATGTAACACAAACCCTCTCTGCAACCGTAGCAAGCATTATTAGCCCCATACAGTATGTTCTTGACACTTGCAATTTGCCTTTTCAGCTCTGGAGTGGATCCTGTGTGAGATCACCAAGCTGTCATGAATGACAAAGAGCGATATACAAATTTACCTGAATCTGGGTGAAATGTGAGGAGGCAAACAATTCAGTCTAACCTCCTGATTTAATTCAGGCAGATTCCATTCAAAATACAGATACGATGCAGATGCTTAAGAAGCATGAAATGACAGTGTAGTTTGGGTCACATTGGTCTTAAATGTTGCTCATTTGACAATTCAAGCGTTTACTTTATTTCAGCTGGAATTTTAATTCTTGGTGTAAATGGGATAAAGACTGATCCATGTTCATACAACCGGGATAATGACTAATATGTGATGTACTACTGTGAGTACATTGGAAAAGTGGAACGACTGCTAACACTGCTACTGTTACTGTGCAACACAAGTAATGTGTTGTGAAACTATGAATGTTATGGATGCATGGAAGCATTACACACACAAAGACACACATTTGCTTCCTCATCCAACTCCAATCACGTCTCTGTAGAAAGCACATGTGTACAAAGTCTTCCAGTAGGCAAAAGCAACACTGTGGAGTTGACTTGTGTGTTTGTGTACTTTTCTTGACCCATATCTTTCACCCTGAGACAGCATAACAAAAAGGTTTCATGTAGGGATTGTGATGCATAATGTTGTGGCTACAGTTCCCATCGTTTACTCCCTATAACCTGATTTTATTTTACACAGTGAAGCCCATTAACCCTGCCTTACAGTTTCTCTCTAACCTCTGGCTTGTCCTACCAGTATGAATTTATTTCCCTGAAGTAAAACTACTGACAAATTGAAAAATCTCCAGATCAAAATTTGCCCAGAAAACCAGACAGCAAAACCCCGCTACGTTCTTACCTGCCTTGTCTCCCATCAAGAGATATCTTTCCTGAATATTAAATAAGTCTTTAGGTCATCCAGCTACTTATGGTGATTGCTGCAGTACAGAGTATGCCCTGTACACCTCTGCAGTGGCACAATACAGCACAGTACGGTATGACTGTCTCACAGTGGCAAATCCCCAAAACATCAAGTAACCTGCCCTCTAGTGGAAGCTAATGAGACCTTCAACATGCACTAACTGCATTTGATTCAGACTATGAAGACTGTATCATTAAAAAAAATATTGTCAATTAAAACTAAAGCTGCAATTATAATTTTATGTAACACTGATAAAATCATTGCTACAAATTCCACTTTTAAAACAATGTAAATAAAACGTTATATTGTTCCTGATATTCTTATTTAATACTAGTTTGACTGCATTCATAATTTTATAATGTGCACATTGGACTTTCTAGCTATATTTAATAAGAAGGGAGGCTTAATGTATAAATTTACACAATCTATATTAGGAAAAGGATGTGAAACAATTTGTACAAATATGGATCCTTTATCAAATTGCTGACAGCTATAGTGATCATTAAATAGCTATACAGTAGTGTCAGATTATTCACTAAAATAAAGGGTCTGGAGTTCTGATTGACCACTATGATTCCTTAGAGTTACTATTGCTCTTACTGCCAGAGCGGCTGAAACTCATACTGCCAATCCAAGAGTCTCATGTCAGCTGTTGTTGCAACACTATTACAATGGCGTAAAACACTAAAACGCATTACTGTCTACTGCTGTATTAATGGCATTTCAGTACTAAAGTGTACAGGATACTGCTCTCTACTACTTCTGTATCTGTAACAGCTGAAACTCTCACTGCCAAGCCAAGAGTCTGACGTATGCGCTCTGCTTCTCACATTCCACACAGATCCAAAGGTCAGACCACTGATCGAATGTTGGTTTAATTCAGTAAAAATGTTAACTCTACAATCCTGTTACAAGATGGTAGAAAAGTAAACATCCACTGTAAGAATTTTGAGATAGTGAACTTTGTTCAAATTATCATTTGTGATGGCAAACGATCACGAAAATCCGCTCTTAAAAACAAGAAAAAAAAAGTAATAAAAACGGAGGACATTAGCTAATTTTTTGCCAACAGAACAGGAAGCTTTCACTTGCCAATATTCTTAGAAACAAGTAAAAATAAGCAGTCTCAAAAACCCACAGGTGCAGCTAGACTAAAACCAAGTACATTGATACAAAGCAGTTTTGTACTTGTCAGTGTTGATCAAACTGCATTATAATTCTAGTAATTGTAATTTCAAGCATTACGTTACTTAGAACCAGTATTAAAATCTCAGTAATGAGTTCTAATATCTTATTAAGTTAATGAAGGACAAAAAAAGCTTGAAACAAGTGAAATGTTCCAACATTAAACCTGCCTGGTAAGAATATAGTGTCGCGCAAAGAACAAGCATCTATTACCGAGATTTTTGATATTTCATCTTACTCAGATTTCACTATTCGCAGTGCACACATCTAAAGAACTGCTTCCTATAACTCTTGAAAGTGATAATCTTATAGACTAAGGCTAACTAGCTGCAGATTTGAATTATAAGCACAGGTGGACACTGGCTTCTCCACATTCTCTCACCGCAGACACATTTTTAACCATTTTAGTTGTTTTTTTTTCACATCCATGGCTGTAAACAAAACTCTGCATTAGTCAGTTTAACAAATTCATATCTGTACATTTTATCTTCAGCTATCTAAGGCCACAAAGTACATAGATGATAGTATTTTATAGGTAGTGAAAGTAGCAAATTCCTATAAATTGCTTACGCCTTCAGTCCATTTAATACACACACACACACACACACACACACACACACACACACTAACAAACATGCAAAACAAATCTGCCAACTCCAGGTTTTCTGAACCCATGTTAATCTGAATGTCCAGCTATCTGTGTTTGTGACCATGTTGCTCATGCTCCCTTCATAACTATGCACCTCAAACCTGACTTGTTAAAAAAATGCATACTGAAAATAAAGTGCTGATTGAAATTCCAAGAATGCTGTTGAGTCTCCCTGTGTCTTTATCAACTTTATACAATGTTCCTTTATCCATCCACAGTACTGCAAAAGGTTATAAAGAATGTAATCACTCAAACTGGGAATTTCTTTTTCTGTGTTTGCATTATGTTTTGGTAAAAAGATACAATACTTTAATGCAAGAAAAACTCAGGTCAAGTTGATATTGATAACGTATTAATACTGTAAAGAACCAATCAATAGTTTCACCATAATTCCTGCGGCCACTATACAGCAAACACCTGGTTGAGACACTACATGTAACTTTCAATTTCAGAACTAGAGTTGCTATAATTTTCACTTTCCTACTGTATCAAGTGAAATGAATTCTTTCTGCCTTTAACTTTGTGTCCGCATCTGTTTTTCTGGGGAACAGACCACATGGAAGAACAGTCAAATACTCAATACTCTACTCTTCATTATCTCCAAGTATGTCCATTTAATGCTAGAGAAGAAACTACAGCATCACATGTTGTGTACTTTGCAAAGCCTCTGCCCTGTTAGCCTTGGAAAAACACAATATACTATTTAACAAAGGGGTGAGGTGACATAGAAGTTAACTTGTTAAACTAAGAAAGGATGTCCATGTGGTCATATAAAGTTCTTTGGTCAACGGACAAATGAGCATCCCAGTCTAGAATCATATTGTTGTTAAATTATTGTTAAGATGTTCAATACCGCCATCAGGTGGATGCTTTTTAGAAATGCACCCCATTGGTTCCTGGCCAATGAGGAGTGCTCAGTGTAAATTGAAGTGCACACAATATAGTTTTTAAGTCTACCCATGGCTTACTAATTTAACACGGTACTTCTGTGTTGTTGCACATCATTTGAACTTTATTCCTCAAATATAATGAAACAGCAGGTTGATGTTGCCATGAACAAATACAACTCACCACAAAAAACATGTCACTGCCTTTGCAAAGCCAGCAGGCTAAATAGCTCTGAGGTTTAAGTTTGACAACATGTCAACCTTAATGATAAAAAAAAAAAGCACATAGCTAAGACGTAGGCTGTTTCTGCCCAGTTTCATCCCAGAAACTTAGGGCAGAAACATACCAAGCAAATCAAAGAACTATGGAGGCAGTGGAGGCTGACTGTTAGGTCGCCTCAGGTCACCTTTGTCTGAAGTGGTACATGATCACACCACAAAGACTACTAGCATGTACGCTCTGCACCTGCGTGAGAGGAACTAACTCTCCATACCAGCAGGTGGTGGTAGTCAGTATTTGTCTTTCAAAAAAGCAAAGAGAAACATTATAGATGAATCGTAATTCTCTTATTTTTCCCTGAATCCACCTGGAAGTCCTTCCAGTCTACCACGATGAAGGACATCCCAACGCTTTTATTTCTACTGTGAAGAGTGAGGAGTGAGGACTGAGGAGCTATAGCTGAGGATACATGGGTGCATCCTTAGCCAAAGGAAAGGGCATTTCTTAAACATGTGTGTCCTCAGTTCCTCTGTCCTCACCATTTGCCCTTGCATCTTTTCCTAGTATCTTATGTAGGCAACACTAAGACACAAGAGAACAATGCAAGTAAGGGAAAAACAAGGAAAGGCATAGCAGGTTAAAGCTTTGTCACTCAGCTCAAGCATTTTCAGCCTAAACCTATTAAAGATCAAAATGCTTTCATGTATATGGCTGGTAGTTAGTTTGTAACAAAAGACAAGTAGAGAAGGTAAAAGTTTTTCATGTATTTATTTATTTTTTAAGTGTAGGGCCTCAGAGTGCAATTCCTGAATGGGTAGGAAAATTGCAAGTTGCATGCATGGATGTAATAACAACCACTATGGTAAATGTCACTGTCCCATCCTTCTGATAAATATCATGTTATGAATTAAATGACAGCTCAGAATTGTTAGAAATGTTTCATTTCTATTATGCTTCCGTGCCAGCATTGTGGTACAGCAACTAAGTTAGGTTACTCTGAAAACAGTAAAGAAAAAAGATTAGGCTAAGATGCTCCACAATAATAGTTTTGTGGCGCATTGAATTGGTGCGCATACGAATCCTTTTACTCCAATAAGAGGTTTTTCCATTATAGGTACCTACCCAGACGAGTAATACCTGTCTGTTTCCTGTCATGCGCCCGATTTGGAGGTGCGTCGCGGGGAGCTAAATTTCGACACCCCTCAGGAAGAGGTACTAAACTCAGGTTCCAGGAAGGCGACGGGGGAGGGGATTCGTGCGCACAGAGCAGTCGCCTCTGATTGGTTAAATGTCCGCTCTGGACACCTCAATCATTAGCATTGCAAGTAAAGTGTGTAAGGTCTGTGTTCAACAGTTTGATAAACTGCTCATACTGTCTCTTTTACTGGCTGATTGTGCACCATGGAGTGATGTCTGTTCTCCTGCTCAGCTGACTGACTCAACAGCCACTCCTCGGCCTGCGCACCTGATCCAAAAAGTTTGCTTTGGGGAGGTGCGTGTACTTTTTTTTTTAAACGCATGTAAAGACTGAAACGCAACTAATCGTTGATATAACATAAGGGTTACACTTAATTTGTCCTAAAGTCGCCATGGTCTGCTCAGCTCTGGGAAATTCTTCAGCAGTAAGTTTCGGTGAAAGCTTTTTACAAGGTGGCTGCACAAACGTTTACAACATAGTTAATCGGAGGGAGGAAGTAACCTAAGTAGTAACTAGGTAGCGAACTCTTACCTGCACTCCCGTGATAATGCTCCTCTGCCTCATTCCTGTTGGAAAAGCAGATATGTCCCCGGTTTAATCCTTAAAATATTGTTATATTGTTTTAATTCTTGATTGTTCGGTTAATTTGGGTTCCAATGCCTGCCACTGCCACCATACACCACCTAGTTAACAAGCAACTCCCGAAAACACTAGTAGCAAAGTCACAATCACATTGTGTGGAGCAAAGGGGACGTTTCTAAATAAAGCCTCGGTTCGAAGCACCTGATGTTTTCCTGATTGTCCGGTGAACAATAACAAACAAAGCCGCGAGGGTTATTTTAGAGAGTGAGCTAGGGCTTCAAGCTCCTGATGACTGCAACATTATAAGCTGCTGGGCTTTAGGCCTACATATTCACAGTAATTGTGTTGTGCAGGAGCTTGTGGTGCAACTGTTTGCTACACAAAACATGTCCACTAGATGTCAGTGGTCTACAACGAGCTCCCTTCGTTAGATGAACCTTTTGGTGAAACTATAAAATGGGAATCCTCAACAATCAACACCTTAAATCAGCTTGTGTGCTGAGTCTTTATCAGCTAAAGATTGGCCCACTGTCACACATACTCCAAAACACAATATGTGGATGATAAGATTTTGTTGAACTCTCAAAAATGCAATATTGTCTTCAAAAAATATAGGCCACCTTCTTCGTGTAGTAGGTAAAGCAGCAAGGGTTAAATCTTCAGCCTGACTTTGGCAGTGGTGGTGGTGGTGGGGGGGTGTTAATAGGATACCCCCTTAATTTTTTTATTGATATCATTTCAGTAATTTCCGTTTCTAAACTTAATAGGCATATTTTTGAAACAGGATGTCCAGTATTTGGATCAAGTATAGCTTGAGTTGAAAAACGCAATGTGTGTTTGTTTAAGTAAGATCACTTCAAGCTGTTATTTCAGTGTGTCAGATACACATTTAATCAACATTTACCGGAGATAAGTAACTATGAAATTGGATTTTTATTGCAATATAACCACAATTATTGCACTTGGACTGAGGCCAATGGCTGCAGTATGTGCCTTGACCTAATCCCTTAAGGTAAAGGCCATCAGCTCTTATAAACATATCTCAGTAGACAGTAGCCTATGCACACAAATACTCCAAAACATTAAACTTTCCAAAAAGTTTTCTGTGAAAATATCCTGTTGTGTATCAGTTGTAGCCAAGGCAATTAACTGATTTGGAGTTCCTATACAATACATGCATGTTCTTATTTGTGCTAACATATAACTCCAGTTAGCAAAGCGGGTTTACAGCAGGAGGTATGGCAATGACACATGGGTATGGGTTGTGGTATTGATTATACTCTACTCTGTACATTTATATAAAAATACAGTGTCACTGACCTGAGAAAATGGTGCTTCCGATTGCTCTCCTGTGAAAAGTGCTATTCCTCCATTGTCTTCTTGGGATTTCTCCACCTAGGTGAGTAAAATAAATTTCATAAAGATCCTATGTGGATCCCATAGCTGGGGTCTCGTCTAAATGTAATAAAATGAAAATATTTCAGTATGTTCACTGTGGTTCAGTGGGTAGAGCAGTCATCTCTCAACCAGAGGTTCGAATCTCGGTGCCTGCAGTCCATGTGTCGAAGTGTCCCTGGGCAAGAAACGGAACCCCCAAGTTGCTCCCAATAGTTAGAGCCTTTGGTTGAGTTGGCACTGCAAACAAATTCTTTGTGTGTAACATACACAAATAAAGGTGATTATTAATTAACTGTCCACATAACATCACAGATGCTTTATTTAACAGCCTCAACTCTACCAAATGTTAAAGGTTTGCATCCTGGTGATTCCGCGTCCTTGTAGTGAGAGCATTATTGTGGCTGAAGGGTTGCACGGGCCTGAGAGGCTACTGCAAGCAAGACAGTAGCCTCTCTTCCTGCTTCCACTATGGTTTTTGGAGAGAGGAGTGCAGTGCAATATCACAGTTAATGGGAATTACCTGTTGATTACATACAGTATCTCTGAGGGCTTCAGTGGCAGAGACCACCTTGAAGGTTATCTTAAATCCTGGGCAACCTCTAAATTTATGAAGTCAGCATCTCCTGAAAATGTTCATACAAAGCCATTTTTTGAGTTTTCCTGTCTATTTCGCATTCAGATGGACTGCGCTGTAAGT